TCCAACCCTGTGGTAAAACCTAGTGATTTGCTTTCATAAATACTATTGTCATCGGTGCCATCAATCCTATTAGACCTGATTGTAACAGCAAACAACAAACAAACAAAAAAGAACCCGTGGAGCAGTTTTCATCTATAAACCATGAGGGTCCCCATAAGCTGGGTATAAATAACTCAGTGGCAACAGATTTTGGTGGGTTCCAAAGGTTGAGCTCAACCCAAAGATTGTCAGTGTGCTCAAACAAAGATTGGCCGTGTGCATCCACCCAGGAGTGGTTTGGAAGAAAGGCCTGGTGACCAGTTCCAAAAAGGCAGCTTTTGAAAACCATGTGGAGCATGCCACTGTGGCAAGAGTTGGAATCAACTTGACAGAAACTGCTTGGGGGTGTTAAAAGAGGAAAATGGCTTAATCACTGTGGCTTTGCAAGCTTCGTTTCCTCTGTTATAAAATGAGAATAGTGCTGTAGCCCTTGTATAATGATTCAGAGAAGTTCATGTAATAATGTGTGTAACAGACAAATATATAATGATTCCCAAAATGCACATGACAATTACGAATTTCACCACCATCCTCAGAACAGCCCACTCATGTGTACCTGCATTTACAAGCAACTGGTACATCTCTTCATTTTCCCAGAATCCTCAGTTCCCCAAGAAGAACCTGGTGTATCTTATACAAGAAACCATTTGGCCCAGAATGGACATACAGAATCATTCTCTTTTTTCCTGGCAGCAGATTTGCCTATCTCATTATATCTGACATAGACTACTATTAAATTTCATCAAGCAACTGCTGTCAGAGGGTTATAATCTGTATGTGCACAGTTAAGAGATGACTGTGAAGGTGTTGGGGCAAGTGTCCCGATGCCAGCAAGAAAGCTCTCTGGCTTGTGTTGAATCTTAAATTTTATCAACTAAGAAGGATTTACAAGTAAGTGGGCTAAGAGTGAAGTCTGCCACATATTGAAGTTTTAGTAATTTCTGGTCTTCAGTGGGGCTGATTTAGTCATAATAGTGTTTCAAATTTCTGTCTTTTCCAAAATTTAACATCAACCAGGCCTTTCTGTTAAGATTAGCTATCATTGGTTGATCTCATCCAGGATTTGGGTTTTAACATTAGTGTGAGATTAAGGAATAGAGACTCAACCCCCTTTCAACCACCCCTACTTACCATGCCAGTTCCGCACCTCCATCAAGCCAGAACTTGTGTGTGTCGGTTAGGCAGCCAGGCTTATCCTACTGTGGCTCTCCTGCCTGCTCTGAGTGTGTCTGGGATGTGCTAGCACTGCGGGCAACCCTGGGTCCTGATGTGTAATAATAGTTGCAGTTTAACTGCGGGGAAATGTGTGTCTGTGGGTAGTGCAAACTGCTTACATTCGACTGTTAGCATAAAGATCAGTGGTTTAAGCCCACCTAACAGCACCATGGAAGAAAGACCTGGCAATCTACTTCCATAAGATTACAGCCAAGGAAACCCCTTGGAGCAGTTCTCCTCCTGTAACCCATGGGGCTACCATAGGTTAAATTGCTTTGGCATCACCTAGTTTTTGGCTAGGCAGATTGGTGGACACATGTGGAGTGATCAGAAGGTCCTGCCAATACAGTAAGCAGTGCTGGATGGAATGAGAGTAGACCGCACACAAATCTATGCTGCCTATCTCTTGCCTCTTGGGGTTGGATAGTGTACTCAGGTCCCTGACTCCGAACTGCAGTGCTCCCCCCTTAGCAGGCTGTAGAGAGGGGTGGGTGGCAGGAGGCCAGGTCTGCTTTATTTCACAGCCCTTTTCCTTTTCCTGCTGTTTGGATGGTGCCAGCTATCAGCAGCTTGGGCTGGCTGCCTGTGCCATCCTGTTGCTTGGGTCACTGCTATTGCCAGAGTAAACAGCCCTGAGAAAGAGTGTGGCTCTCCCAGCAGGAAGTCCCAAATGAGTCCCTGGTGCCTCCCCTTGGTCCTGACCTGAGGGTGGGACTCGGGATCTCTATCAAAATAGACACTATTCAGGTCTGTCCGCATGCTCTACAGTAGGCACCCAGACACACTCACACATGCCATCACCACCACCGCCACCATAGACACTATTCAGGGATTTCCTTATCCTCTATAGTAGGCACCCAGACACACTCACACATGCCATCACCACCACCGCCACCATAGACACTATTCAGGGATTTCCTTATCCTCTATAGTAGGCACCCAGACACACTCACACACACTCTCACACACACCACCGCCACCATAGACACTATTCAAGGATTTCCTCATACTTCATAGTAGGCCCCCAGTCACACACACACACACACCACAACCACCTCCCTCTTTTATTTGACTGTGGAAGGGAGAAGAAAGAGCCTGTCTTTGATCTCAGCAGAGGGAAAAAGGGTGTTTTGTTCATTCTGTTCAGGCTTTTGGCTAACACAACAAACAATGCTTACGTTTTCACTTTGCTTAATTAATTAGTAATTCTGTTTTATGCTGTTTGATCTCCCTCCAAAATGTATTTCAAAGCTAGAGAAGGGAACATCAAAGGAAGCTGGGTAAAGATGGTCAAGTAATGCATTTAATCTGGCGCTTGCTAGGGTGGAGAGATGCCAGGTCGGGAGCGAGTATGGGAGAGAGCCATCGGCTGGGAAATGCTGTGAGCTCTCCCGCCGCCATGGGCAAGGAGCAGCGCCAGAATCACTCGAGTTGACCATGTGATTTGAAGAAGCAGAATTGACGTTTTCTTTCTTCTGGACCCACTGGGAATAGTTCGGCAGGTTGGGTATCCTCTGAAGATTTCCAATTGAGCAGCTGAGAGGCGGTTGAAATACAGCCTTCACTCTGAGTTTGTTTCAGGTGGGGTGTTGTAGTCACCTGAGGCACCATTTGTTTTTTCCTGTCAAAGGACCGGATAATAAACATTTTCTATTCTGTGGGCCACTGTTGAGTGAAAGCTGTCATCGACGATTTGTATGAGTGGAGCTGAGTTTCCCAGTTACACTCACTATAGGCTGCATTTAGCTCTTGGATTGTAGTCTGTCCGCCCTGCCCTCACCGCCCAGTGCGGCTTTCTAGGCAGCTGACAGGCTTTGCTTTCCTCCTCACCCCACTTCCCCCTCCCCCTTGCCCCCCCTTGTCTCCCACCTTTTCTCCTGCTCTCCTTTCTTCCTTCTCTTTCCCAGCCTTCCCGGGTGGTGACTGTGACTTGCAATTGAAGGAGCAATCATTGTTCTCAGAGAATGGCTGGGCTGAGCAGAAGTAACCTTGGTTCCAACGCCCGTGGTAATAGCATTGTTACTCCCTCACAGGGGTACGTACCCTGGGCAGCCTGCCGGGTGCCCTTCACCCTCCTGACTGCTGACGAGCTTTTCTGTCTGAAAAGGGATGAATGGAGAGAGATTTAACCTGGCAAAGGATGGCTGAGGCAGATGGTGATCTGACTCTGGTTTTCGAGGGTTCAAATGTGGCTATAGAGGGAGGGTGTAGATGTGGCGGAGTGTCTGCCTCTTTTTATGTAAGTTCCTAATGGTTCTGTGCCCCCTCTTCTGGCCACTTGGGACAAAAAGGGGAAAGAGGACACAAAGCCGCTTTTTGGTAAGGACAGCGGAGGAGCTAAGAATGATGCTTCCTGGCCCCCGCCAGGTCTCAGAGCAGGTGGAGCCACTAGCCCACTGCCCATCTGTGTGCTGGGAGTGGTGCCCCAGAGGGTTCACCAAGAGTGTCTGCCTGGTTTCCTGAGCAGGAGGAGGGACTCCCTGTTGAAGAGGGCAATACAGATCCTGCTGGTCTTGGTATGAGGTGTATGGAGAGGGCAAGGGGTTGAGGGAGAAGTTTTCCACCTTCCTGGGTGTGGAGAAAAGAAGGGAGGCAAGGGAAGGCCTCGGGGGAGCAAGCTCGCGTGTGCGTGGTTGGATGGAGAGCCGGCTCTCCTGAGAGGTGTGAGCAGGGACAGGCCTTCTTTTCTTTGGGTTTTATCGAATGAAACTTGAAAGGCAGTGTGGAACCTAAAGGTGGTTTTCTGATAACTTCCCTTTGAACTGGAAGTTCGGTTTCAGTAAGCCTGAAGGGCTTCTGTCTCCAGCCAGGATCTCTGCGGAGGAAAGCATCCACTTTGAAGATGGAGCAATGGTTCGCTTTCCTTTCTTCTGCTCCCCTCCCCCACCTTTTGTGGGGGGTGGGGGTGGGGGGCAATGGAGGAGGTTGCAGACCATGGAATCATTGTGGTTTCTTTGGTGGAACTTCCAGGATGGGGAGGGTCATTTGGATCTGTGCTGTCAGATGGGGATGATAAAGCCTCTACGTCTTCACAATACCAGCATTTCCTGAGCACGCACCAAGTGCTGAACCAAGTGGGCACATTTCTAGTTACGTCCTTCCAACAGTTTCTTATGGGAGAACGTTTCTCTTTGCGTTTTTCAGATGAGTGGACTGAGAGCCAGAGGAGTTGATCATCTTGCCCCTGGCTCTCTGAACTAGCCTGCGGTTGTGTTAGGCTATGAACTCAGCTGTCCTATACCTGATTTTATCACCTTTCCAATGAGGGTGACAGTAGTGCCCACCGTTTCTCCTGTGACCTGGCTAGCCCGTGATGGTGGCCCTTCTGGTCCAGCAGGCCACTGGAACTCTGAAGAAAATGGTACATTCTTCCAAAGCTCTCCCATGTAGTCCAAAAAGTGCCCTTTGCCCTCATCTGCTCGACCTTTGATCTGACACTGCTCTGTGTGACCGGGCACCTCTGGGTACCATCTGGACTGAAGGTTGCCTCTCTGATCTGGGAATTGGGTACCAAGAGTGGGACTCTTGTGGTGGTCAGAGAGCAAGATTTAGACCCCAATAAAGTAGCTAGGCAGGTTCAGATCCCAGTACCCAGGCGAGAAGGGCCGCCATACCAGGCCTGGAGACAAGCCACAGAGGAAGGAGCACGGCCCCACAGGCCGCTCTGCCTGGACCTAGGGAGCTCTCCTGTCATGCGATGAGGCCCAGCAACCTCCTCCTCATTCCTTTTTACTTGCCCCCCACAGTGGCCCTGCCGCCTGAGAAGACCGAGAGGCCGGGCATTGCGGATGAGAAGAGGATGGAGACAGCGAGTGAGCTTTGTCCAGGCTCCAAGAAGCAGCTGAAGTTTGAAGTAAGCGTCCTTTCCCAGTGTCGTGCCCTGGTTTCCTCTCCTTGGGGTAGTGCTTTGAGAGGAGGGAAGATGAGGCTTAGCCAGATGTGAATGCCCTTCTGTGGGAGACTTCACCTCCACTGGCTCAGCACAGGCCGACAAGGACCTTCAGACAGGCCTCTGACATGACCATATGTGTTGGGGTCCAGAGCATCCTGCTGAGCTCAGTGGTCCAGGGGAAGGGCATAGGAGTAAGTAGGGAATATGACGCTAGCTTTGGCACTTGCTCTGTCTCCCACAGGATTTTTTACTTTTTAGGGGGTTCTATAATTCATTGCAATGGTCACACAACTCAGACAGTGCGTATAATTTGGAGATTATTAGGGAAGTTAACAGGTTATAACTCAAATGCTCGAGATACAGTTGTTCAGTTAGGATAGTTTCGCCTTTGCTCTATCTTCAGGCAGTCCTCTTTCAGGCCCTCAACTTCTTGGTCTGACCTCTGCCCTGCGTGGTCAATGTTAGAAAGCTCGTTTAGGGTTGCCAATAAAAGTCCAAAGGGTGTGCCACTCCACTGTTTGCCCCAATTCAAAGGCACTCAGCTCCAAGGCCGTGAGTCAGCAAGCTCCGTTTCCCCAATTAAGTGCCCACAAGCATCCCATTACATAAGTCAGTCTCCTGCCCTGAAGTACTTGGCTTTACTTGCTCTTTGGGCTGGGAAGTCCACTACTTTGCTTTATGCTCTGGCTCCTGGTTCTGCTGTTGCTGCTAATTTGGTGTCAAAGCTGACTCCTGGATCAAGGTGGCTCAATGTACAGGGACCTTGGGGCCCAAAGGATGCTCTCCCCTTCTGGCTTTTCTCTTACTGGTAGTGAGATCTCCCCACCCTGCACCTGAGGTGACTGTTTTTATCTCAGCAGATGGCAGTCACAGTGAATCCTATATCTTCCCCCACTTGCTGTTACCCAGACCCATCAGGAGAAGTCATTGGGTGGGAGTTACAGAGCCTCAGGCTAGAAGTGCCATATTAAATAATCCCCTGTACTGCAGCGCTGCTGCTAACCCACTGTGTGACGACCTCCCTTTCTGAGTCTCACTTTTGACTTCCATGGGTGAAACCTACCCTTCCGGCCCCTGAGGCTATTCTAAGAAACCAGGTAAGGGTGGGATGATCAGGAGAAAGGAGGCCTGTGGCAGGTCTCTAACCCTATTTGCACTCAGTTTTCCTACATAGTCAACAAGAGGGAGAGGGCGTCGGATGCAGGGATCTACACAGTCCAGGACATGTGCCCCAGAGCTTAATCTATCCAGTCTGTCCTCCTGCTACTCCAGCACCCCAGCAGTGTGTTAAGTCCCTTCTACACACCAAGTGTCGTTAGGTTCAGGTGCCAAAAATGCCTGGGTGGAGCTGACTGGCTTTTCCCTGCCGCCTTTTGCCTGTCCTCCTTCCCTCTCCTCTTTCTTTCCTGAAGAAGAGCTCTGAGCCGGTGGGTCTGTGTTTAAATGCTAACTGTGCTACTTCCGTCAAGTCCTTCATTGTGCCAGCCGCCTCCCATGGCCACCCTGAGAAATGGGGGTGGCCAGTGAATGGATCCTCGGACTGATGTCATGAGAATCCTGAGTGGATGAACAAGCACTTTGATTCTTCTTTCTAGAGAGGTAAAAACTAGCCACTGGATGCCAGGGGACCCCACAGCAGGGGACTGGGCATAGGCCTGTCCCTCCTGGAGGGCGTATTCACTGTATTGAGGGGCAGAGGAGAGCATCACAATTGCTCAGTAACTGTGCAATTGGTTGAGGATGTGCTAGAATACGGGAGCCCCATCTGGTGGGGAGCTGCGGATGCTGCCATTTCCAGACTGCTCCATGCAGCATCCAGAGGAAGGGGCCGTGGCTGTAAGCAGAGGTTGGAAGTGTGAGTCTCCACTCCTTGGATGTGAGTCTGTGTATGTATAGGTAGTGGCTGTGAGAAAGTGATACACAGGGAACTCTTAGGATAAGGAGACTCTTCAGGCAAAGGGGACAGCGGGAGCAAGAATGGCAGTGCTGCCATGCACGTGGGAGCCACAAGGAAACCCAGCAATGAGGAAGGCAAGATGGTCACCATGGGCCCGGGATGCCTGAGCTGAGAGGCGACAGGCCAGCCAGCATCTAAATGAGGAGCTGTGGTTCCCAGTTCCTTCCCGGAGCCCCCTCCTTCATGTCTTGAGCCCATAAGTTCCCTACAGGTCTAGGGACAGATCCCCGCAGCCATAGGACAGCCCAGAACGAGGCCCCTCACTTTCCTGGCCCGAAGGGTCTTTCAATGGAGTGCCAGCTGACTACCTGGGACTCGGCATTCTGCTTGAGGAAGTCCCACCCATGTCGCAAGTCCAAGTGGGGTGGGGGTGTGAGTTGATGCACACATGACCACAAAGCCAGAGGGATCTTGGGATCTGCCCCAAGTGATGGCACCCAGAGTGAGGGAAACAGGTAACTGTTCGGTATGGAGGGGAGCGGGGCTCGCACATATCTATTGTGTCACATTAGAAAGGACCTGCAAGCGCAGAGCAGGCACTCAGCAGGTATGAGAAAGTCATGTTACAACTGAGGGAACATGGCTTTGAACTCAGCATGCCATGTGTCCAGAACAGCTGGGGGGGGAATAGGTCCACAGGCTTCAGAAACAAGCGGCCGGGAGCATTCTCAGGTCCGGCATCTTTCCCTCTTTGGGGAACTGAGCTCAGGGTGCCTGCTCTGTGGCAGATGAAGGGGAGCCGAGCTGAGCAAGACCTGGAACTGAACAGTCCGGAGCATCTGTTCTTATCTTCAGCGACCCTGAGGGATCTTGCGGGCTATTTGCAAAGCCTTCTAGAACTCTCTATCTGATTCTCAGGTGGCCTTTGCATGATACCTTCATTGATGACAGCACAGTTCTCCCAGATCAGGTTTCCTGTGGTTAACTCCTTCTGGCCACTAAGACTGGGGAAAATAAGATGGCTATTATATGAATACTCATGATCGCAAAGACAAAACCAGCTCCTACCCATAATTGAACTTGTCTGTGTGCCAGACCCTGAGCCAACCAATCGACCCACTCCTTGTTTCCAATTTCCCAAAGCAGACCCTGAGACAAGGACAAAGGGACAAGGGCCAGGAAGGTGACCAAGAAAGCCAGTAAATTATGGACTAATGGGGTGGTCACTACCACAGGCAAGGGGGCTCATTCCCGCCGAGGACCCTTCAAGAAGCCCTAAGGGATGCTGGTTGATTGCCTCATGAAGGGATGAGAAGGGGCCAGTTGCCCCCTTGACTTCTGTCCCTCACTTATTCTGGATTGCTTCTAGGGCATTAAATCCTTGGTCCTTAGGCTGCTCTTGGACAGAAAATCCGGCACTTGGGATGGGAGGAGTAGGAGTAGAATAGGGAGCGTGGTTGAGGGGACATGAGATGAGAGATTTCGTCCTCCTAGCAGCCTGACAGGTCTTGTCAGTTTCCATAAATTAAACCAAGGACATCGAGGCACCGAGAAGAGCAGTCACGGACACAGGGTCATGCCCCTGTGAGGGCTGGGTTGGGGCTGGCCCTGGGCTGATAAAAGAGCTTTACCTATGATGTCTATCCTCTCTTGCTGCCCACTGGGAGTCTGGCTTGGACTTCAAGAACTGTACCTTCTTGTCTTCCAATAGCAGGCACTCTTTGGTCCAAACTCAAATTTGGAAGACCACAGCATGCCTCTCAGCACTTGCTCTGTGTTTTGAACCCTGAGGGCTTCACTCCCCAGGCCAGGCCTCACCTTGAGTTATGGTCTCCTGTCTTTCTTACTCTGCCCCTCTTTCTGAAGACCTGGGGAGAGTAGGTGGGAGAGGCGGCCCCTATCTGAGGCCAGATTCCGACCACCCCATAGTCAGTCAGTGGGCCAGCAGGTAGGTGACCACACACATGCATCTGTTTGTGTCCTAGGAACTGCAGTGTGATGTGTCTGTGGAGGAGGACAGGCGGCAGGAGTGGACCTTCACGTTGTATGACTTTGACAACAATGGCAAGGTCACCAGAGAGGTGAGTGGGTCTGAACAGCAGGTGACCATTCGCCATACCCTCGGGTACAGGAACCAGACTGCATGCTCCTTGGGTACCTCTGCCACCACTGCCATCCCTCGAAGTCGGTCCCCGTCCTCCCCACAAGAACAACAATCCACTTCTCTTGAGGTGATGCCAGCTCTGTTACCCCATAGGACAGAATAGAAAGAACTATAAATCTTTCTCAGAGTATAAAGCCTTATCTTTCTCCCACAGCATGACTAGGTGGATTCAAACCATTAACCTTGCAGTTAGCAATCCAATGCATACACCACCAGGGCTCTGTGGCAGTCGTTGGCTGGATAGGGAGATAAGAGGACAGATGGAGAGTATAAGCTTGCTGGAAGCCTCAAGGGGATGTGGAGGGGCATTCTGGAGACTTCTGGGAATGGGAGGAAGTGGTAGGGGTACGATCTCTCCACTGCTTCCATCAGGGTAAAGGCAGATTGAGAGCTGAGATCTCCTGATATCTCCACCCTGGTCTCAGTTGAGTCTTGTCCTGCCCACCTTCCTTCTCTGTTGAGTCCTCAAACCCTAGGACTGGGGCTCAGATCCCCCTCAGATCATTTCCCATCTCAGCCATTCCTCGAAGAAACTGGTGGGGTTGGGGCAGGGCACAAAGGCCATGCAGTGCTCCTCCCCCATGATGTAAGAGTCACCCTCCCACCCCCATTGCCTACTCTGCAGGTCACTGAAGGCCTCTAGCCTTGCTGCTCATGACCACCTGACAACCCTGTCTCTTCTGGCTGTTGTGTGTCTGTCCCCTGCATCCATCTTTCCATACCCCTCTCGTATGTCCTCCCACTGTCCTTGATACCTGAGTCTCTGGGCAAGGAAGGCACTGGGGGAGGGGGGAGCGGGGTGCACAGCAAACCGGCTCTGAGCCTCTTGACTCTTGACAGTCTGATAAGGGAGACAAGTCCAAACAATCATAGAGCAACTATAAGCTGGGATGTGCTCAACAGAGGAAATAAACAGGTGGCACAACAGAGACCAGCAGGAGTGGCTGGGGGCAGAGGCCGTTGAGAGCAGCCACTGGGGGGCTTAGAAGTGACGTGTGCAGAGCCTGGAGGAGCCAGGGTGCTTCGTGGGTAGGTGAGCTGAAGAACGCTGGTGTAGCTGCTGCCTGGGCACCTGGATCTGGTTTCAGGCTCTGCTGGAAACCATTGGTGGGTGAATTCATGCAGGGATGTGGTCTGGTTGCTTCCTTGCTGATTCTGCTCCCTCTGGCCCTGGGCATCATCTGGGGACTGCCTTGTCTCTTTCCCCCCACCCCTTCCTGATGTCCTCTCTCTTCCCAGGCAGTCCTTGTTGTCGATGTGTGGCCTGAGGCAGATCCATATTTATGGGGTCACCCTGGCTGGACCCACTCCTGGCATTCCCTCTAGCCATGTAAGGTCTCCAAAGCTGTCCTGAGAGTGCCATTGAAGCTTCAGTCTTACCTCCCTATCCAGCTTCAGGGCTGAGTGTTTCTTCTCGGTGGGTAGTGCCAGCGAAGTTGGCTTTTATGTGGCCAGAGCAGAGAGCTAGCCACAAAGGCCTCCTTCCCTCAGCCTGAGGCTTAAAGGATGTTTGAGCAAGCTGAAGAGCAAGCTGTGCCTGGCTTTTATTCCCTTGGAACTCTTTGGGATGTGACAGAATCCCAGCTTACTTCTTCCTGGGATATCATGGTTCTCGTAGCTGGAATTCCATCTGGAGCACGGGCTTCACAAGACTCAGGACTTCCAGACGGTGTACTCAGTGTCCCTTTCCCCTTGGTGAGAGCCAGGTGACGGCCGGCAGTTAGACCTGTATCCCGTGCTCTCAGAAACCCTCCACAGAAGAGAGTCCACAGAAGTTCCAGACCAGAGCTCCTTAGCTCGGACGCATCACACGCCTGGCTTACTGTAGTCATTGTTGCCCTGGGCTTCAGATGCTCCAATGCAGTGGTTCTCAACCTTCCTATGCTGCCACCCTTTAATACAGTTCCTCATGTGATCATGACCCCAACCATAAAATTATTTTCATTGCTACTTCATAACTGTCATTTCCTACTGTTATGAATTGTAATGTAAATATCTGATATGCAGGATGTGTTTTCATTGTTACAAATTGAACATATTTAAAGCACAGTGATTAATCACAAAAACATTATGTAATTATAATTAATTTAATGTCATTTTACCTCCAATACTGCCGCTTTCAACACAGTAGCTGCTTTTAACAGAGTAGCAGCTTTCAACACAGCAGCTGCTTTCTACACAGTAGCCGCTCTCTACACAATAGCTGCTCTCTACACATGTGTGACTGGTCTGCATAAGTATATTATGGCACCCACCCTGTCACATACACCTGTATTTGTATGGGGTATATGTGATGGGGTTGGTGTGATGATATCATTAGGTTGGGTACTCATATATCTGCATGTATGAGTATCTGTATGTGTGTGGACACGCCTGGAGATAGATAGAGGAGTGGTGTCTGGTTCCTAAGACCATCGGAAATATGTGTTTCCTGGTGGTCTTAGGGGACCCCTGTGAAAGGGTCGTTCAACCCACAGGTTGAGAACCCCTGCTAATGGGATGCCAGATGCCAGCAGTGATGTGGATATGGAGGTTTGGGCAGTTGCAGATAATGTGGGGCAGGCAGCAACAGCCTTGTGGAGATTTGCTTATCTAACCTTGTCTGAGCACCTCCTCTGTGCCACCCTCTGGTTTCTCTGTCCTGAGTCTCTGTTTTCCTCTCTGTAAAATGGGGTCCTTCCAGTCCTCCTAGGGTTCTTGACAGGAGCCTGCCTGCTAGCAGAAGCATGCTCCTTTTGTTCAAGGGGTTAGAGTGGCTCCAGAAGCAAGGAACCACTGCTCAGCCCTGTTTGGCAGCTGTCGCACTGTCATCTTAACAGGAGAAGGCATCGCAGGTTTTCTACTTGGTATGTGCTGCGATCCAGTTACCTAGGCTCTCGGCAAACTTCAAGCACAACCAAAAGAAACAGCGTGTCCTCATCCTGCCCTATCACTATGATCAGTTGTGGGTGGGACCATTGTGCTCCAGTGTTTTTATTGGTCAATTTTTGGCAGTAGATGGCCAGGCCTTTCTTCCTAGTTTGTCCTAGTTGGGAAGTTCTATGGAAACAGGTCCAGCATCATAGCAACATCGCGGCCTCCACTAACAGGTGGAGTGGTGGCTGCGCATGAAGTGCATCAACCGGGTGTCAAAGCCAGGTCTCCCACATGGAGGGGAAAATTCTATCAGTAAACCCCACGGCTGCTCTGGGCAGACTGGCTGGGCCCGCACAAGTGTGGGGTGACACATCCCTCTCTACTTACACAAGCAGCAGCAGCAGACAACTCAGTGCGTGATAGCCGGCTGCCTTCTGGATTCCTTTCTGGTACAGAAGTTACTGAGGACAAAAGGGTTTGTTCCCTGCCTGAGAGATCCTGCAGAAATCTGCGCAGACACCTTTCCTGTAAAGCTCTTGGTAGTCAGAGGAAACAAGGGAGAAAACATTTCAGAGGCAGATGCCCAGCCTGGCCCGCAGAAGGTTCTCACTGGAATCTTTCTTCTTCCACAAGGATCATGGAGGTTGGCCTCAAGTCAAGGGAGAGGCCCAGCCTGGTGTTTTTAGCCCCAAAGCCACTCCTCAAATCTGTCTTTAAATGCAGCTTCCTGCTATGTTTTCTGATTACTGACCCACACCTTCCTGTGCAGGTAATGGGCACGCACCTCCCACAGCATGCCAAGCCCAGAGCCAGCATGGAACCAGTGTTTCAATTCAGAAAAAAAAGTACATGTTAAGTCTTCAGAGAAATTCATGCAATGGGAAGTTATGGGCTCTAACTCATATGTGCCAGGTGCTATGTAGCCAGTGGCGTTGATCTTCAAGCCAACATCACTAAAGCACACCTGCTCCTAGACCTTGATTCAACCAGCATTTGTGGGACTCACAGCCACAATCCTGTCTTCCCAGGGACGTGACACTTGGTGGACTATGTTGTCAGACTCTTTTCTATCTCTGTAAAGTGGAGCTAATGGTGTGTCCTTCAAGGGTTTCCCAGGATGATACGAGAGCACGTGAACATGGCAGTCCCAATAAGCTTTGCATAAGGTAGGAGCAGAGAGTCCTCTAGAGGCAGGTGCCTCCCGCAGGGTTCCCAGTGAGTGGTGAACAAGCAGCTGAAGCTTGGGTCTCTGACAGCCCCCACAATCTCAAACTGCCCCCAAGAAGATGTCATGGGATTCTGGATTTCTGTCTCCTTTGAGATGATTCTCAGTCCACATTGCGACGGGAAAAGGACTCCCAGGTGGTCCCCACCCTTCCTCACCCATTGTCATAGTTATATAGCGCTGCTTTAACACAAATCCCAAAAGTGGTTGGCATTAAAGAACCAAGATTTATTATCTCATGGTTTGAGAGGTTAGACATTAAGACAATGGTATCTACTCTAGGAGAGGGCCCCTCCTGTGGATAGCTCCAGGGATTTCCTGGCATTCCTTTACCTGTAGCTGGTTCTTCACACAGCCACTTCTCTGTGTGTGCACATCTGTGTATAGTCTGTTCTTCTAATATTCTGGATGATGATTCAAAAGAGATTAGGTTTAGGACCTACCCTGCAAGACCCCTTTAGAGTATTGAAAGCCACGATGTTACTTTGAGAAAGAAGGTGCTCCTGACTCATGCCGTGGTATTTTCCATGGTCTCATATGCATGTTTTTGTTGCATAAGGAAGACTGTAGGAGAGTGGATACATATGAATTGTGGTGCTGAAGAATATTGAAAGTATCAAGGATTGCTAGAAGAGCCAAGAGATCTGTCTTGGAAGAAGTAGAGCCAGAGTGGTCCCTAGAGGCAAGGATGGCAAGACTTCATCTTACATGCTTTGGACATATTCTCAGGAGAGTCCAGTCCCTGGAGAAGGACATCATGCTTAGTAAAGTGGAGGGACGGTGAACAAGAGGAAGGCCCTCAGGGAGACGGATGGACACAGTGGCTGCAGCAATGGGCTCGGGCACAGGAACAATTACAGGATGGCATAGGCTGGTGCAGTGTTTGGTTCTGTTCTGAAGAGGGTTCCTATGGGTCGGAACTGACTCAGTGGACCTAACAACAACTCCAGCATGGCCTTACTAGCAGAACAAAAGAAGACCCTTCTTTCCAAACAAGTTCAGGGGCCAGATCTTCAACGTAACTTTTGGGGAAACTTAATTGAATCTCTAACATCAATCCTCGTACTTGCCTGGTCTTGACAGCACTTGGCAGTGCGCCCTCTATCTAAAACAGTGTTCCCTAAGTGGGTGATACTGCCCCCTGGGGGGGCCCAAGAAAAACCCATGGGGCTGCAAAAGCAGATGCCTAGGCCGTATTCTGGATTATGGGGTATCATCCGAAATGCTTTAATTGCAAAGGGGCGCTGAGTAATTGTTTTCTGAAAAGGGGTTCGTAAGCCAAATAAGTTTGGGGGAACTCCTTTGCTGAGGAGGGAGAGACTCAAGATGGCACTGAGGATGATAAGGAAGAGGGCAAATCCACTGATGGGATTCAGCCAGTTCTCACCAGTGCAGCAGAATTGATACCGAGTTTTGTTTTGTTTTCTTAATTATTTTATTAGGGGCGCATACAACTCTTATCACAATCCATACATACATCCATGTGTCAAGCACATTTGTTGCCATCATCATTCTACTTGAGCTCTTGGTATCAGCTCCTATTTTTTTCCTCTCCTTCCCCCACCCTCCCTCCCTCCCTCATGAACCCTTGATAATTTATAAATTATTATGATACCAAGTTTTTGTTGATTTCAGTGAACCAGTTGTTAAAATGACACGTGTAAATCAAGATTCTCTCTAAGGAGGCAGCTGGGAATCTGCCCACTGTAGAAATCACAAATTTACACTCCTCACTCTTTTTTAATGTTCATCTTCGCAATGGCATGTTCTAGGCACCTGTAGTCATGTTCACTCCGTCCATAGGGACGAAAAATTAGACGGAACTCTGCTTGTCCTGTTTATTGTTCATTTCATAAAGCTTGTTATACTTCTGACGAAGCACTACATTTCCATTCCCTTGCGTTTGGTACTTCAGGAAACAAACATATCACATAAAGAGGGAAAATGCCAAAAACCCAGCTTTTTGTTGTTTGAATATTACATATTCATATAGTACAGTATGAAATTCATATTACAGACTACATATGTAATATGTAATTGTAATATGTAATTCATATTACAGCTTTTTGTTATGCCCCAGATTGCCACGAGATACTTTGAGTAAACTATGTAATTCCTGAAAGCGTTCAAAGAACTAAAAATATTGTCAGAAAAAATGTTTTAAGTTCAGCAGAAGCAGAAAAGGCTTCTTTCAAAGAAAAGAAGTTGCCTGTTTCTAATATATCAAACACATCAACTGTTGTCTAATTGGCCTACCTTTGCAGGAATGGAATCCTGCTCCTGCAGTGAAAAGAGGGGTAAGGATAGATCACACAGCTGGTGATGCTCGGATAAAGGTGAAGAGTATTGCAAGTGAGGGCACCAATCAAGAAGCCGTATGGAAATAGCTTAACAGTTTTATTGTCTTGACCAGTTATTATTTAATATTTTTCAGTAATATTTTTAAACTTGCTTATAACAATTTAGTTTTGTGTACTTTTAAATTATTCTTATTTAAGTATTAACCATATGAAATAGTAAATTACCTTTCATTATGTCTGTTTTTAAATACTTAAAAGCTGTCATTAGCATCCCCTTGCAGAAGGACCGCAGGGAGGAGATGAGCCGGTCAGGGTACAGTTTAGCAATGATGAAACACACAACTTTCCTCTAGTTCTTAAATCCTTCCTCCCCACCACTATCATGATCCCAATTCTACCTTACAAACCCAGCTGGACCGGAGGATATACACTGGTACAGATAGGAACTGGAAACACAGGGAATCCAGGACAGATGAACCCCTCAGGACCAGTGGTGAG